CTTTGGTATGTGTTGCTCCTCAATGCAAAGAAGAAAAAAATCCTGTCCACTGGACCAATACAATAACATCCATATAAATGGAGAAAAGATTGAAGCTGTCAATGACTTTATATTTCTTTGACCAACAATCAACATTCATGAAAAAAGTGGTCAAGAAATCAGACGATGTATTGCACTGGGTAAATCTACTGCACAAGACCTCTTTAAAAGTGTTGAAGAGCAAAGAAGACAATTTGAGGACAAAGATAAGCCTGACACAAGCCATGGTATTTTCAATAACCTCATATACATGTGAAAGTTGGACAGTGAATAAGGAAGACCATAGAAGAATTGATGCATTTGAGTTACAATGTTGGAGGAGAATATTGAAAGAACCATGGACTGCCAAAAGAATAAATAGATCTGCGTTTAAAGAGATAACAGCAGAGTGCTCCCTGGAAGCTAGGAAGGCCAGACTTCATCTCTCCTACATAGGACATATTGTCAGGAGAGACCAGTCCCTGGAGAAGGACATCATGTTTGGTAAAGTGGAGGGTTGGCCTAAAAGAGGAAGACCCTCAATGAGATGGACTGGCACAGTGGCAGCATCAATGGACTCAAATGTAGCAACGATTGTGATGTTGGCCCAGGACTGGGCAGTGTTTTGTTCTGTTGTGCAGGGGTCATTATAAATTGGCACCAAATTGATGGAACCTAAAAACAACAACAACAGCAAACTCAATGTGGGTTAAAGACTAAGTGTAAAACCTAGAACTGTAGAGATGGTCCATGAAGAAATAGGGACAAATATAGGGGTTCTGATATGTGGTATAAATACACTCTGTACAGTGGGGTCTCTCTGGTGAGTGACCTGGACCTGCTTGGGTCTAACCACATGACTTCCTCTCAACCTTCCTCAAAGTTGCATCTTCCTTTTAGTCTGGGAATAAAGTTGGGAAACAGAGGAAAACAGTGCTTCTGGCAATTACTGAAATTGACCCTCTTCAGATCTCTGACACCCAATTTTTTACATAATTTTACCATAATTTCAACTAAAAAATACAAGACTAATTCATTAATCTTTTACTTAACACAAAATGGCACTACATGAATATGAAAACTACATCTTCTTTGATTGCATTGATGAAAATCAGTTTATGATGTGCTCAAAGTAATTATTTTTCAGTTTCTTCTCTTCCTACACTCAGCAGAGCAAGATCACACAGTCTGCCATGATGAATTGTTGTTGTTAAGTGATGCTGAGGCAGTTCTGACTCATAATGACCCTGTGTAGGGCCCAGTGCTTGTCCTATCGAGCCACAGCAGGGCTCCATGACACATGGTGATGGCGGTGGTAATGTTTCGTGGAGTCGGTTCCAAGTCATAGAGACCCTGTATAGGGTTTCTGAGGCTGTAACTCTTTACAGGAGCAGAAAGCCTCATTTTTCTCCAGTGGAGCAGCTGGTAGATTTAACCTGATGATCTTTTGGTTAACAGATCAGTTCTTAATCCACTACGCTACCAGAACTGCTAAGATACTTGGGCTCTCCCAAATATGAAAGCATTAATTTTAATTTGCTGATGATCTTTTACAGATGGAGACAGTAAATGCGTTGGTTAAGAGTAACTGATTAGTGATGCCTCCTTCAAGTGGCAGCCAGGGCACCTGCCATCCATGTCATCCCTTAGATATGGAGGACAGCCCTGCATTTACCTCTGCAGTGCAGACAAAATTTGAGTCAATCTTCACATCTCTGTGGTTCCCTTGTCTTCCTGGTCATCATACCTGACGCTTCAGCAGATGTTCTACAAACTTTGGGGTCCAGTATAGTTCTGGGATGGTAATGTGTCTGGCAGAATCCCCACTGCCACTTGCTCTGTCTTCCATATGACTCTCTATCAGCACCTGCCTTGGCTCTCCTCTTCTGTGACCTTGTGATTCATTCAGGGTCTTTTCTGCATGTTCCCAAACACAGCTGCAGATGCCTTGCAAGGCTACTGTTCCCAGGTACCAAGGGCTGTAGCCTAAATTTGCTCAATCTTGGTGCTTCCTGCAGTGGAGAAAGGGGGCATCTTCTGTAGCTCCCTGAAAACAATCCTTCCCAAGGCTTCTTCATGACCTTTTACTATACTTCTGAGGTATATCTCTCCTGGAACAAAGTCTCTTTGCTCATTTTTGGAAGAGCTCATGGGGTCACAGAGAATCTTTAATCCCATCAGGGTCAGAGTGAAGAAGAGCCTCAGGAGACATGACATGTAACTTGGAAAATGGTGGGGTTCTGTGTGGTTGGGAAATGGACATTAGGGAAAAGTGGATGAAGTGTGGACTTCAGTTAGTAATCATGTATCAATACTGGTCCATTTGTTGTGACAAATGTACCACCCCAGTGTAAGATCTTTACAACAGGAGAATTTAGGTGAGGGGTATATGTACCAACATCTCAACTTTTCTACCTATGTAAGAGTTCTGATGTGGAAATTTAAAAGCCCACTAAACTCATTACTGGAGTCTTGGTGTGGTGCTGTGGGCTAATGACACATATTGCAAAGTCATTTGAACTGCAAGGTCGGTGGTTCAAGCTCACCAAGTGCTCCTTGGAAACCCTATACAGGGTAACTATGGGTCAGAATCAAATCAATGGCACTTAACAACAACAACAACAACAAACTCAATACTGTTGGCTAGATTTCAACTCATAGCAACCTTAAAGGAAGGAACAGAACTGCTCCACAGGGTTTCTAAGCTTACAAATCTTTATAGAATCAGAATGCCTCATCTTTCTCACTGTAAGTGGCTTCTGTGTTGGAACTCTGCCCTTTACAGTTAGCGCCCAGTGCTTAACCCAGTGTACCACCAGAGCTCTAAAAACTAAAGCAGTCCTAAAAAGAGTTTAAACAGCAACCCATCTTTCCACAGGGGTTGGTTTTACACAGGCTCTTATCTGAGTTGTCATGGTAAGGATTTCCCCTAAGGATGTGTCAGCTTAATTGCCAGACCCAGCCTATGGGACATGCAGGTTTCCCAACCCCCACTCTTGGGGTCAGTGCCATGCCTGGGAGCACAGTCCCCAGTCACATTCAGAACTCTGACCATTGAACTGAGTCAGCCTAGGACTGTGTCCCGTGGGGCCTATTATCTCCAGGTGGGGTAATTACTCTCATGGGCAGCTCTCCAGATGAGGTTGTCTGCTGGAGGGGATGGCCACCAGTTAAAGGCCCATAGAAAAACACAAGAGCTACCGAGCAGCAACTGAGGTCCTTTAGACACAGATCACATCTCACCTTCCCACCTGAGTAAGATGTTATGCATCTCCCATGTAAATGTGGCATCATGTCCAGACCAAAATGATTGGGATGTATGCCTTGTATTAGTAATGGACAGTAAATGAGTGGTAGTAGCTGCCTATCTTTCTATTGCTAGGCTTTTGGGTTATGTGGTCCAATTTTGCCCTTAATATATTTGAAGACACTTTTGTTTTTACCCTGACCTATTTTATTGTGGGGAAAAAAAGTCCCCTAAAAGTGATTTGTTAATTACTTTTGTTATTTCAGTTTGAAACTAAATTGCCGGGACCTGCCACACATCTGCTGGTTGTGCTGACTGATCCGTGCAGTTGATCTGCTGGTAAGAGGGGAACCACCAGGTGGATCTGAAGGTAGGAGGATCTCAGACTTAAGGGGTTGAGACAAGTGGAGGGTGAGTGGGCATCGTTCCTACATGTATAGGATGTTGGTGGATGCCTGGGGGTTCGCATTGCTTGTGGCGACTGGGTGGGGCATGACATGGACCCTCAGGGGCAGAGACCTTGGGTGAACGCCATCTTGTACTTCAAGGCTCTCTCAAACTGCTGATCTGAGAGGGATGTGCTGCCCATGGTCTTATGCAAGCACATAGAAGGGCCTCAGGGATCACCAACCTGCAGTCCAAACTGTCAGAAACACCAGAACTTTCCCACCCTTGAGCTGCATGAACTGAGTAGTGACCACTACTCCATTGTATGTGTAGTCTTCTGTCTGAATTACATGTGAAGGAGGTTAAATGTTCAAAAGGTGCAAAATGGTGGGGACTCTGCCTCTGGGTTGCCCTCAGTCCACACCAAATGCATCTAGACCTAGACTTTCCCACATCCACTGGGGTTTGTAATGACACCAGCAGAGGAACACTTGATATTGGTAAAACTGACTGTTCTCTGAGAGTGTCCTTGCCAAAGACCTGGGTCTCTACATTGGTGGAGAGTTCATGGACCTCTGATGAGGTTCAGCTTGTTCCCATTCCTCCAGACCTACACAGCCTTGTGCTCCCTGAAGGAATGGGCTTCCTACCAGCCCAGGATAAATGGGATAGATTTTGAATCAGGATCGGGGTTTCTGCCTATGGATCAGTTGCTATCGGCATTCCCTTATGAGGGTCTAGGAATTCTTGGAGAGCAGCCTTAAGTGTGTGAGGCTGGCTGGACAGTAATGCTTGTGCCTGAAACACCTGCACAGGTGAGTCTGCAGTTGACACTGAAGTCCCTCCTTGCCCTGTAGCTGTGTTGGCCTAGGAGTGTAGAGTCCTATGTGTCCCAGCTGCAAGCAAGGTTTTTCCTTATGGGAAGCAGAGACAAGACAACCAACTCGGTGCCTATATTGACCAAGGTTGAGTATGGACATTAAAGGCAGTGTGGACTGGTGGGTCCCTGGATTCAGAAGGGTATGTTGTAAGTTAAAGTGAACACAAACTCATTCTGTGCTCACTGTGTAAGTGACTGTGTGATGCTGGGGACAGACCTGCTGATTACAAATGGAGAAAGCTGTGAGGAAGGGTTATCATCAGGAACTAGTGGGGCTACCTAGAAGAGTCCAGGGTGAGAGATAATTCCCTGCCTGCTCCAGGATGAAGAGACACGTTGATGACTTAGTTGTGTGCTTTCTTTGTTAAGATGCCAACAAGTCCTGGTGGGTTGTGATCTGGGTCTTTGTCAAAGACAATGATACCCATCGTTTTATGCTTCTTTCTGACCAGGACCCGGTTCATCCAGATGTCAGCAGACAACCAAACATCTGTAGTGGAGTTCATTCTTCAGGGCTTCTCAGATGACCCACAGATCCGGGTGCTACTCTCGGTCCTTTTCCTCTTCCTCTACCTGATAGGTCTTGCAGGAAACGTCCTCATCGTCCTACTCATCATTCTCAGCCCAGGTCTGCACACCCCCATGTACTTCTTCCTTGTCAACCTGGCCTTTTTGGACCTCATTTGCACAAACACTGTTCTCCCCAAACTTATGGAGAGCTTGCTGGTCACTGTGGGCACAATCTCCTATCATGGTTGCCTGACCCAAATCTTTTTCCTGACTTGGTCCCTTGGTGCGGAGCTGTTGTTGCTCACAGTCATGGCATTTGACCGCTATGTGGCCATCTGCCAGCCATTGCGGTATGGCACCATCATGAGTTGGCCACTGTGTACACTGCTAGCCACAGCTGTGTGGACAATCACTGTAGCCAACACATCAGTGCACACAGGCCTCATGGCACGGCTGAACTTCTGTGGCCCCAATCACATGCAGCATTTCTTGTGTGAAGTCCCCTCGCTGCTGTTACTGTCTTGTAGCCCCACAATTGTAAACAATATCATGATTATCATGGCTGATGTCTACTTCGGCGTGGTCAACTTCTTCTGCACCATGGTTTCCTATGGCTACATTGTGGCCAGCATCCTCCGCATCCGCTCATCTTCAGGCAAGCACAGAGCCTTCTCTACCTGCTCCTCCCACCTCCTGGTGGTCACCTTGTACTACTCCACTGTCATCTACACCTATTTCCTCCCAGCCTCTGGTGCCTCAATGGAGAATGGTAAGGTCGTGGCTGTATTGTACACAGCGGTCAGTCCTGCCCTGAACCCGCTCATCTACAGCTTGAGGAACAAGGATGTGAAAGCTGCTCTCCAGAAGGTAGCCCCTTCCTCCTGGTTAGGAAAGAGTGTGGCCACATGAATTATTCTAGTGTCAACTGTGTTAATTTCAAAATATGACTTTGATAATCAGAAGCAAGGGGCAAAGGGCAAGACAGTAACTAATGGGATGGATTTGCAAAAAAGGAACTCCACCGGTTTCAGCAGCCTGGTGATTTACCTGGACCTTTAATCACTCCTGATTCTGTTGATGTGACCCAGGATACTGTGAGTGAGGGGGATTGACCCCCAGAAGCAAGGCTTTATGTAGAGAGTGTCACTGCCACTTCTTTTAGGGTAGAGTTTGTTTGACCATGAGGACACCTCAACACATTACTTGGGCTGCTCCAATGTGGAGATTGCTTCAATGTTGTTGTGAAGAGCTCTCCTAGACCTAGTTCTCTGACTTAGCTCTCTTGGAGTGGGTCCAGGAAATGCACGAGTAGTCACTTCTCAACACAACAGTGAGTTAATGGTACTGGCATGGCAGAAAGGCAAAGCCATGTGTACCTAGTCACCACTCAGAACCTGACAAAAAGAGGTGTTTTATCATTTTATTCCTTCCACAAAAGGTATCATCATTCTTCACCTGGAAGCTGTACCATAGCAGACAAGTGTTGTCTTTTGTCTTTAGTTTTACAAATCTTATTAAACATTGTTTGTATGAGTTCAGTTCTTCCTTAGTTTACTTTCCACTAGTAACACTGATAGTATTCTGTTTTTAGCTTCTGAATGTTGACATTATTTATTGCTTCAGCCCATCTTTCTTCCTTTCTCTTAGTAATTTTATCTATTTCCTGTCTACATTTATTATCAATTTTTGATAGTGATGTACAAATTTATAGCTATAGTCCAACCCTAACCCTGGACCCATTTATAAAACTGCCCAGCTAGTGGTGTTGTTTTTGAGTGTCTTTAAGTTGCTTCCAACCCATAGAGCCCTGTTATAAGGTTTCTGAGGAGCAGCTGGTGGTTTGACGTGCCAATATTGAGGTTAACAGTTTAGTACGTGTTCTACAGAACCACACTCAGATCCCAGATTTATTTTACAGTCCAGGCCTCACTCTGGACCCACTGAATTAACTGGTCATAAAGCTGTTTTGTGGATTTTTTGAAATCTTTCAGGGATCTCATGTAGCCAGTCTGAGTGTATGACTTTCAGTTTCCTCAACACCATCTAGTTGCAAGAGTCAGTTGATGAGAAATTCTTGATATTCTTTCTTACCATCTGTATGTAGACAATCTTCAAATCCAGTTATTTAACTAAAACATCACCACATCCTTTTCTTCTTTTGCTTCTAATACTTACACATGTAGCCATAAGGTTCCTACCAGGTGACATGATGCCTTGTAACTGATCTACCTACATCTAGTGCTAATCTTGACCACCAGGATTGGTTCAGCCTTGTGTACAGAGCTATAACTTTCACAGTTTATTATGCAAGGGTTAAAAGCAATAGAATATCACATTGCACATACAAGGTTGTAAGAATTTACATGAACACCTATGTACCCATATCTATTTTATTCTGTTAATTTGATATAGTGTTTATTATTCACCTTTTTATCCATTTAACTATCTTACTGTTTATGCATTTCAAAGCAATTTTCAAGGATTAGTACACTTCATAGGCATTTCAGCATGCCTATCATTTATTAGAGTTTAACATTTGTCAATAGTTTTTTCCCCCTTTTTAGTAAATATTTAAACAATGATTACATAAATAGAGGTGTACATTTGTTGGGTTTTGACAAACGCAGACAGCTGTAACTCAAACCTGTATCAAGATACATTACATGACAATTGTCCCATAAAACTCCCTTCTGTGACTTCCCATAAATCTTTACCTCACCTCTCAATGGAATAATTTCTAATTATTTCCATGAAACATAAATTTCACATTATCTAGAATTTCATATAAATATAATAAATATAAACATGCATTCATTTGTATCTGACTTCTCTTCTTTCCCTTTGCATGATATACTTGAGATTCACTTATGTGGTATGTATCAGTTGTTCATCTCTTCTTAGCTTTGATCAATATTCTGTTAGTCAAAAATGCAATGCCACATGTCATTTATCTATTTGTCTGTTGATGGACATTTATATTGTATTAAAATTTTGGCTATTACAAATAAAGTTTCCCTAAACATATGTGTCCACTATTTGTCTGTCAGTTTTTCTTAATGACAAGTTGGTGTGATTTTGGAAGCTATGCCACCTGCATTTTTACTCTTGAACACTTTAAAGAGGTCTTATGCAGCAGCTTTGACTAATGTAAAATGTCATTTGATTTCTTTCTTTAAAAAAATTTTTTTTTTTTAAATTATGTGATAGTTTTCATGGGAGAACATTAGTTTTGCATTCATCCTATTGTATATCGTTTCATTGCCATGGTTATAATCCCCTTCATGCATCATCAACCAATCAAAGAATATACACTACAAGCCTGCCCTCCTGGTGGTCAGCACACAGCCCCTCTTCCTCTCTGGATCTAAAGTCCCCAACTGCTCCATCTCTCCACGTCATCATGTCTGCTTCCATCTCAGGCATCACTGCTTCTCTGGGTAGGGTCCCACTCTCAGCTCTTCTCCCTTGATGGTCCCAGGGACCTCTGCTTCTAGGCTGAAAAGTTGATCACTCCCCTCCTTACTACAAAACATCTGCCTTTACATTTCCAATCCTCACAAACAATCCTGATAACAATTATTCACTATCATATCACAAGAGACACATCCACATTTCATTTCGTCAGCCCTGCCTAGACAAATTGTATACTACTCAGTGGAGATTCTACCTTCCTTCACACCCTCTGAATCTAGGTTCCCTCTTGAAAGCTTGTAAGCCAGTCACTTTTTGCCTTTGTAGGGCCTCTTCCTTACCCCTCCCCCCCATTTTGGGTAGCCAATGTCTAAATTGCCCATCTCTGTCTACTCTGTGTATGGAGGGGGTGGGAATGATCCTTGCTGTAAAGATTTGTTTCCTCTTTTGAGCT